GAACATTTTCACAATGGTGATCTTAAATTTGACAACAGCGGTGCGCCACTGTGCCTGTTATGTATAAGAAACCCTGGTGTCAAGCATACAATGTCCGCAAGCTTGCTGTTTTCTCAATCGTGAACCTACGCAATTTATTGTGTTTCAATAAGCCTCCAATATGCTGTTATATTAAATTTTCTGATTACCATTGCTTTAGACCCAAAGTTAAATGTATGTTCATCGACATAATAAGTATCCAAACATTTATAATGCAACTCCCTAATCCTGATAGCTTGGTTTGATCTCGAAGCAAAGTTCAACTGCTACAATACAGTGATAGTGGGAGTAGATCACGAAAACAATTTTACAGATTTAGAAAACAAACACAGAATATATGTACCAAATTATTGTACTGAATTATGTACAAAATATATTACCAATATTGCTGAGTTTCACGTGTAAAAAAGTCCCAATACGTACATATAATACATAAGAAAGACGCGCTATTTAAAACATTTGATTGAGTACATACCATGGATATGCCTAGACTCCACACATCCGACTTTATGTCATAGCCCTTGTAGTCACGCGGCGGGTTGATTCTCTCTGGCTGCAAATGTGACATAAACATAGAATATGCCCTCATGTGCAAACCACATGATTAAACAACATATGTAAGGACGTAATCAACCTTTCTCTACAATCCAGACCCCTGGCAATCTGCGGTGAAAGAGTCCAACAGTATGGTTCATTGCCCTTGTTAGTATGCATTAAAATTAGTATGCGCAAGTCAATATTTGGAGATCAAATATACCAGATGAATGTAATATTTCTCATTCTTAAACCCAAGTCTATCTTGAACTGACAACACAAACTACCAAATATGAAACGAAATGCTCATAATTTACATTCTTCATTCACATTTCATACGTACACACACACATGACTAGATACGAAATAAAACACGTGCGCGTAACCAATAAACAGTACACAAAAATAGTCTAGAACGAGTGCAGCCTCATTACGTAAAACTGAGATAAACTGAACATAGTCGAAGCTTTGCAGGTTCCGAAGCCAGGTGACAAAATGTGCAAATCATATTAGAAATGATGCCGAACTCATAAGAGAGCTACAAAGTCGACTATTACCAGAAACAGAACAACCCGGAAGCATAGCAGAGAGCAAAAAGAAGATAAATGCGTGGCAGCCGCTTCGCCGTGCGTGCATCAGCCACCGCAGCTAGCATCTGCTTTACGTGAGAGAGAGAGAGAGAGAGAGAGAGAGAGAGAGAGAGAGTGCGCCTGCTGCATAGCTACAGGGGTGCGCGCCACATGGCCGCCCGACACCGCGATAGACCGCAAGAGGAAGCGTGCAGCGGGGCGGGCCGCAGACAGCTCCGTGGAGTAAAACACGCGACGCGACCTTCCCCGACCCGATCTCGCCACAGCGACAAACACAAGAGCGTCCGGCGATCGCGCCTCCGGCGAGTCGGGGCGGGGACGCGTGTACGTGTTTACCCGAGCGGCGCGTGCGGGCAGCCGTCCGCCACTAGACAGCGCAGGGGCTGCATGCGCACTACACGTGAGGGGGGGCAGGGTCCTCATCTCACGCAGAATGCCGCCAGAGAGGGGAGGGCTTCACTTACGGCCATGTATATCGTACAGCCAGCCTCCTGCGTCTGCGCGAGGCTATTGACTAGGTAGCCGCTGATGCCAAAATCACACATTTTCACCTGGCCGAGCCGCGTTATGAGTATATTCGAGGGCTTAACGTCTCGATGAATGACGAGCAGCTTCTGTTTGAGATAGTGCAGCGCCTTGACTACCTAGAAGAGAGGCAAGAACGGCGTAAGCGGGCGCGGCGTCCGCGGCGGCGGCGGCGACACTCACCGCCATGTATGGTTTGCAGCCGGCATCCACCGTCTTTGCGAGACTGTCGACGAGCTGGCCGCTGATGCCGAAGTCGCACATCTTCACCTGGCTGGCGCGGTTCATGAGGATGTTGGAGGGTTTCACGTCGCGGTGGATCACCCGCAGCTTCGTGTGAAGGTCGTGCAGAGCTTTCACGACCTGATGAGATTCACATGAGTAGGGAGGCATGGACGGAGGGCTCACGGAGGGCATGAGTAGGGGGGCGTGGACTGAGGGCTTAAGACGTGCTGGCACTTTATGCTCGCAAGGCGGGTTGTGCCTAACTCCGCGATTCTGCGTACTTGGTAAATGATTGTTGACTCGCACGATTCGGAGACGGAGCTGCTGTTGCTGTCGCTTCTCCGAGAGCTCTTGTTGCACGCGGCAAACATGACAATGCAGCTGATCACGAAGCGAACCCGGTGCCAAGCGGCCGCCTCTTTCCTGGCAGAGAGTTATCTCCACACGTAGCGGAAGTTACCAGTAAGCAGCAGCAGACACATATCGCGGGATGAACAGCATGATGAATCCGAACACGCACGAGTCGGCAGCAGAGCCAAGGATAGACAGCATCATCAGGCGGACAGCAGGCAGCAGTAGATTATCAGATAGAGCAGCAAAGTAGAGTGAGTACGCAGCGTGAAGCATCAGCACGACTGCAGTACATAATAGTAAAGTCCAGCAGTGAGTAACGTGGCCAAGTGAGGTAAAGATAGAATTACAGCAGCATCGTAGTAGAAGCAGTAGCAAGTAGCATCATACAGCAGGTCAATAGGCAGCAGTAGCAGCAGCAGCAGCATCGCCAGGCAGAGCATAGTCGAGTATAAATACAAAGCACGTTAGTAGTATAAGCATCAGCACATAGTAAGTAGCAGCGAGCAGCAGTATATAGTAAGTAAGTAGCAGCAGCAGCAGCAGCAGAGCAAAGCAGCAGAAGTAAGCAGAGCAAGTAGCAGAGGAGTAGCAGAGCAGTAGCAGCAGCAGTCTACAGACAGTAGCAGCATACTGCAGCAAGCGCTAGCCAAGGGCCACACACAAGAACAAAACAAGTACAGGCGCTAGCACGACAGCAGAGGTCAGGCGAGGAAGCAGCAGCAGATAAGACAGACAGCCTCGGCACGCAGAAAGCAACAACAACAACAACTAGCCAGCAGCAGTAGCAGCAGGAGTAGCAGCAGCAGTAGCGCTAACTCGGCGAGAGGGACAAGTGAGACCCAACGAGCGTATGACAAGCTTGAGCGAGAACTGCTTAATGTTTTACATGCATCAAGGTGCTTTTCACTCGTCTAGAAAATTCATGAAACACAGTAGAAATGCGGGACGCATAGGTCGAGCGAAGTAACGTCTTACGATGAACATCGCTGATGTTCTCAGACCTGCGCTGTGAGATGCAATGATGTTTATAGAAGTGGCATAACCAGTGGGCCCACCTCACACCTTCGTTATGATAAATTAGGGAAAGACATGCTAAGGTGATAGACAATGATTTATGTTTAATATACAGAACGTCCAACGGGTACCGAAAGTAACTTCGGTGTATTTATCCTACTGCAATATCCTATATTTTGCTTCCTGCAAATTCACGTCAGGTTGGGTGTATTGGTGTAGTGACTGATGCGTAGGGAATCGAGAATACTGAGTAATGCATTACGGGAGTTATGTGACCTTGCTGTCATAATATATCTACTTTCGAATGAATGCCACAATGATCGGCAAGCATGCTTAGTAGTAAAGACTTTGTGAATTACATATGTGTACAAGCATTGTAACATAGACCCGTCCGAGGCTCTACGACGTTCAAACGAGTACATCGTCGCGACGATAGTAAGACACAAAGCAGAAAGAAAAGAATAACATAGTGGCATAACTAGATAATGGTTAGTAACGATTAGAATAGTAATATAGAACAGTAGAGAAGAAACAATAGTTCTAAACTGAACAAAGATAGAAGATCATAATATGAAATGGAAACATAACAAACACCTCAACGTTAATTTGGGTACTGGTACTTCAGCAATTATTGGAAATTTCTTTATTTGTAGTGCATAACACAGGCAAGCCTCAAAGTTTGTCTTCCTAAAAGGAAGTAAATCGATGGAAGTGAACCGCCAAGCCCAGTTTGTATACATGCTTTTCATTTATTCTTATATAACTGTCAGGATGAGCGGATACTTTTAATCGACGTGGTCTCGCTCGTAAACAAAAGGATAATTCGGACAGTGGAATGTCGCAACTTCAGAAATAAGACGGCAAAAAAAACGACACTTAAGATTTTGTGAACAAAGATGTAGGGATGCTCTTTACGGAAAAGGTTTCAGGAAATCTGCTCATTGTTTATCGTTGAATGATCAGTGTTTGTGAATCGAATCATCGTATGGTCAATTGAATTGATCCACTTCGGAATCAAAATATTTGTCTTGCCATGCGCGACAGCATTGTTTGCCTTCACGATAGGCAGATGGCAGCAAAGGCCAGGTTAAGCTTTCTCCTGTGTGCATTGCAGAATGCATAAATAGATCCACTGCAAGCGTTATCACTGATTGTGATTGGATGTTAGTCAGCACTACAGAGTTTATGGCTACTCTCTTGCCATTTCTCAATCTAACTAGTTACTTCTACTTCTACTCTACTTCTACTTTCTACGTCTACTTCTAACTCTAACTCCTACTTCTACTTACTCTACGCTTCTACGTCGTGTTTTGGGGGGGGTAGTCGGGGTTACGCGTCTACAATAATCGATAGCGATCGATCGCTAAAGGTGGCGTCGCATTTTCGATTGTTTCCAGCATTCCGCGGAACCTCGACTCGAAGACGTCGATCACGATCAACAACTGAGAACTTTGTCCAGAGGCCCGGATCACCTGGAGTCTGTGAGCGCAGAAAACAAAAAAAAAAAAAACACCACAAAACAAAAAAGAAAAAGAGAGATAGAGAAGATTAAAACAATACGAGAGAAAAAAAAAAGAAGAGAACCCAATAATAGATAGTAAAACGAAGCACATGCACGCAAACCAGAAAAAACGACATACCATAAGAATAGGACACGGAAGATAAAAGAGCAAGAAAAAGAAAAGCTGAATAAAGATGAGAAAAAAAATAAAAAAAGCAGGCGCTGTGGCTGACTGCTGCTGCTGCTGCGGCTGCTACTGCTGCTGCTGCTGCTGCTACGCTGGCTGCGCTGCTAAAAAACAAGAAAAAAAAAGAGATAAAAAAAAAAAAAGCTGCATGCTGCTGCTGCTGCTATACTGCTACTGCTGTGCTGCTATGCTGCTACTGTCGCTGTACATGCTACTCGCTGTTGCTGCTGCTGCTGCTGCTGCTGCTGCCGCGCTGCTCGCGCTGCTGCGTTGGTGTGGATGCAGGTAGCAGTCAGAGAGTGTGGAGTCGGAAAGATAGCCATGTGTTTGTGAGGCGTACCTAGGCATTAGCTGTTGTCAGTTCCCTAGTAGATACACAAGCAATGAATCAGTATCAGTATCATCCCATCACAAATAACCTCCCTGCAATATCCATGTGCTAGTGAAAAACGAACAACACAAAAAGAAATGTATCTACACAGATGTGGACACCGCATGTCCTGTATCGCACGGTCGTGTACACTAGCTATATCAGGGTATTAACCCCCCTGGGCTATATGTATGTCGCAATCAACACTCCCATCGTTTCAGCTGTTCGTTTGGCTGGCTTACGGAACACTGTATGACGTTCAGTTGTCTGATGGGCTTGTGCTAGGTTAGTGAATGTAACGTGAGCAAACAGGCGTCTGCTGGTGCTGCTGCTGCTGGTGGTTTTACGAGCCGATTGCTTGGCCACATGCGGTCCCTCCCCCCCCCCGTACGTGAAATTTTTCTTTCGAATTTCAGCTCGTCTAGAGTCTCGTAGGGTTGAAATGGAAATAGATTTACGGTTTATTATAAGCCTGGCACAGCCAATCTCTTTTTGGTTTTTGTGTGTTTGTGCCATCTTTATTCGTTGTAGCAATATCTGAAGTGGTGAGGGTTGAGGTACAGAAAGAACCTTGTTGCAAGGCTAGGTGTGTGTCGTGTGTGTGTGGTGTTGTGTGTGGTGTGTGCGTGCGGTGCGTGCGTGACGTGCGTGCTGCGTGCTGCGTGTGTGTGTGCTCGCGTAGCTGGTGCGTGTGTGTGTTGTGCGTGAGGCGTGCGTTTGGTGGGGTTTTGAAATAGTATGTAATGGTCTTTGATCTTAACAGAATTTAGAGCAGTTGAGAGAGTTTACATTAAAACTATTACACACTGACAGATTATAGTAGATGTTTAGAAAATTCTAATGTATTGTTTGCAGTGCGTTTTTCCATCTTGGTTAATGTGAATTAAAGATGAATCGTAGTGTTATATGGAGATCCACACACCGCAATGCAAAAAATGACAGGTCTGCTAGCTGTTTATTATGAATAGTTTGTCTATACTACATCGGAGAGCCAACCCCAAACGTTGTCTATACCCCGTTTCACTGCTGCCCTTTTGTCTGACTGCCAATTTGCTCAAGTCTCATAATGTTTCTCTATGAAAGGATTAACACAGCAGTATGATTGTTAATACCGAGGTGATATTCTTGCAATAAAAGTGTAGCGTGCGTGCGTGTGCGTGCGTGCGTGAGTGCGTGCGCGTAAAGGTAGTCGCTGGTGAATATTTCCATGTTAATGTCCCTCGATCTTCTGCAGAGGATCAGCCAGCTAAATAGCACGGGACAGAAAAGAACCTCATGGACCTTGAATACACATGCGACAGGACACTGCTCCGACAGCAGTACACTTCTATGGTGCCCTATTCCTGGGAGTTACGTACAGGCATTAGCTACGCGGGGGCCTGGGGGTGCAACGAGCCTCCACAAATTTTCTGGCCCGCTTCAGGTGGCCGCCCAACTGAAAATTCATGCTTGATAAAAAAACTTGACTAAAATTAACAATGCGTAGAACAGTAAATACAAAGAAAGGTTATATATTGCCCCCCACGAAAGGTGAAGGCCCAGTGCCCCCCCCGTATGAAAAAATCCTAGCTACGCACATAGTAAGTAGTGGGATGTCTGTAGCTGCTACACTAACTAACATTACTTACCAAAACTGGGTTACACTACGATTGTTTGGACGATATTGGCGAAATGTGACAACTCCCAATTATGCAACCGACAATGCGGGCAGTGTAAACGAAAAGTTGCGCAGAACCAAGCGATCGATAGCAACTAGTTTGGGAGTA